TGCTGCAGTTTGACGGGCCGACTAGCTGAAATCATTTCACTGTACAGCATGAACAAGTGGGGATTTTATCAGAGCGCGTAACTAAGCGCTGAGATATACATAAAACACAGAGTCACGAACCGAAAGAATAAGGAAACCCAGGCTGGAAAGTGTCAGGCGGACCGGCGTGATCATATATTTTAGCACTATTTCATGCTGTAGCAAGATCGCAAGGAATTCCAGAAGCAAGAATTTGTAGCACATTGGCTTTCGAAGTTAAGGAAGTTAATTGTGTGCAGCTACGTGGTGTGCCAATTTCCGATGTCGGCTTCGGTAACCCGAGAAAGGGAAAGTCGAGAAGAGCTGAATATGAAATCTTTTAGTCGCACGTGAGTATGGGACAATCTCTTAAAATTTCAACTTTTCTCCTCCTCGAGCTAGCAGTTTTCTTGTCAAAATCTTCACAAGCCCGTACGTGAGGTCCGGATGGTTCTAAGGAACTATATTTGAAATGTTTTGGTGCGTACTTGAGAGAGGAACAGAATATTCACTTAAATTTTCCGGTTTCCAGCTTTTCTCGTTCCCAACTTAGCAATTTTCCTACCAAAATTTTCACGTGCCCGTATGCGAGTCCCAGGCGATTCTAAGAAGCTGAATTTGAAATCTTTTAGTCATACACAGGCGGGGAACATTCTCCTAAAGTTTTAGCTTTCCAGCTATTCTCGTTCTCGAATTAGCAATTTTCCCGTCAAAACTTTCACGTGCTCGTACGTGAGACGCAGACGCGTGCGGCGGATGATGTCATGTCCCTGGGCTCGCACTTGGCTGGGAAACACTGGCAAAATTTCAGCACCAAAGTTTGCGTGGTTGGCTGTTAGAAATAGTCCGTACATACACACACAAAACACACACACACACACCACACACAAGGTCGTTGCACTATGCGTTTTTGCTTCCTGTTGCAGAGCTGTAGCGCTGCACAGCAAAAACGTGTAAAAAGCCGTTGCTTGCGCGAGCATAGTTCACATGACGTAGCTTATCGCAGCAGGGAGCCATAACTTTTGTAAGGGCAGTGTACTTTTAAAAAACATCGATGAAATATCTTGGTAATTGCTAAAATTCAGGACCGGCTCGGCGAAACAATACGCCCTGATTTTTGGGCTATTCGATCAAGTTCGAGGAGCAGAAATCGTGATACTAGATTTTTTTGTCCTGGTGGGATTCTAGGTGTCGCGTTCAATGTTGCTGACTTCCATCCAGCACTGAGCATAAAAACCTGTATAGGCCCTTTCCCTCATAGGCCCCGCGCTTGTTTCTAATTTCTACCTCCAAACAGGGTTTCAGCTTTTTTCCAGAAAATAGTACCGCTCCTCCCTTTCGTTACGACTTTTGAGACCTAAACCACTGCGAACTGTCTAAAACTGATAAGCATAGCATATCAGTGAGAAGTACCCGTGAGAAAGCAAATAATTGGCCAACGCACGGGCTGCCCGTGCGAAGATGCGTTTTTTGCAGAGTTCCCCGCA